TGCCTCCTTCAGCTCCCTTAAGCCTGCGCACCTCACCTGCGCCTCCTTCAGCTCCCTTAACCCTGCGCACCTCACCTGTGCCTCCTTTAGCTCCCTTAACCCTGCGCACCTCACCTGCGCCTCCTTCAGCTCCCTTAACGCTGCGCACCTCACCATGCCTCCTTTAGCTCCCTTAACCCCATGCACCTCACCATGCCTCCTTTAGCTCCCTTAACCCTGCGCACCTCACCAGGCCTCCTTTAGCTTCCTTAACCCTGCGCACCTCACCTGTGCCTCCTTTAGCTTCCTTAACCCTGAGGCACACACACTCTCACTGACCAACACAGTGTGCGCTGCGTGAAGATGGAGCAGGCAGACGCAGCGGCCGGGGTTCCATCCCTGGTGAGCGGCGCCGGCCCCGCCCCTGGGTACGCTGAGATGGACACTGAGACTGGGCATGGAGGCGCCTGTAATCCCAGCGCTTGGGAGGCTGCAAACAGGAGGATCACTACGAGTCCGATCTGTGTAGTGAGACCCTGTAGACCCTGCCCTAAATACAGAAAAATAAGGCGGAGCAGGCATTAAGAGGTGGGGCGGGCAGGAGGGCTGAGGCCCTGGGATTGTGTACCCCACGGCACTGTGAGACCCCAATTGCCTGTCTGCCCTCTTTTGCTTCCCACTCGAGCTATGTGGGTTCCCTTCCCCACACACTGCTGCCACAGTGTGCTGCCTCCCATGGCCCCAGAGCACCAGGGCCAGCCAGCTGCACACCAGAACCTCCAGAACTGTGAGCCCAAACAAACCTTTCTTTCTACAAGTGGTTACTTCAGGTGTCTGTTACAGGAGTAGATGACTTAAACACTGCTCTCCCATGAAAGGTGGGAGAACAGGTGACAGCAGTGCTGAGAGCATGCTCAATTTACCAAGGCCAGTGCCAGGGAGATGGCACAGCAGTCTAAGCGCCTGCCTGGCAAGCGCAAGGACCCAGGTTCAATCCCCAGTACCGCACGCCGTGCCAGCCACCAAAACCAGGCGTGGCAATGCAGTTATAATCTCAGTGCTGGGGAGGCTGGGACAAGAGGATCACTACAAATCCAAGCCGCATAGCGAAACCCTGTACCAAATAAATAAATGATTTTAATTTAAAAAATTACAAAGGTCATTTTCCTGACATGACATCTGTATACAACCTGACTATCTTCAACTATCCAGTAAAAAGAAGCCCTTGTACCTTCAGGCCTGGAATTGGTTAGGACCAATGGTCCTAACAGGACTGGAACTGAATGGCCAACAGAAAGTAGGTGACCAACCATACATATATACAATCCGATTGAAAACATACCTATTCACATGCACGACGTATCATCCGCAGTTTGCAGTTTTACCACTTTACTTTATAGTGTGGATTTAAAGATGTGTAGTAAACAAGGTGAGTCCATCGTCTCACAGTATTTTTCTCATCTTCCAAGATCTTTCCAAATCTCATTCAGTTTCCCCACTTGCTCGGTGCTCACCTCGCAAACCTTCTCGAGGTACAAACTCCACACTGAGTGCTGCGGTGCGCACCTGGAAGCCCAGCTGCGCCCAAGTTGCACGGGGAAGTTCCCCTGAGCCCAGGAGTTCAAGGCCAGCCTAGGCAACAAGGCGAGTCTCCCAGTTCAACAACAAAAACTTTCAACTTTTCTCCTAATAGAAACAATAATTCTCCTTTCATACAATCCATTGGCCTGTACAGACTGGAATTAAATTATTTAATAATAATATGCACAAATGCCAAAAATAAAGTTTTAGAAGTAAGTCTCATCTCATCAGGAAATACAAAAACATGCTGGCACACTAGCGAGTAGCTGGCCAGCAGCTGTGCAGGGCACCCGGATGGTGAAGGAAAGGCCCACTTCCACCCAGTTGGCATCCAATCTCTTCAGATGGCACACTCTTGCTCACGTGTGCATCTACTGCACACCTAGAAGATAAAGGACGGTTGTGTTACCCTGAGGAAAGCTGCCCGCCCAGGGGTGGGGCTCTCTAAGCTCTCCCATCCTCTGGTTCAGCAGCAAGCAATGACTGCACACTCCTCAAGGCTTGGAGCAGAGCTCTCTCCTGCAGTAGGGAGAAGGCTGCTGATGGCACAGAGCCCTGCCCACCCAGCTCTGGAAGCCATCTGCTCACATGCCAAAGCTCACCCACCTGAGATCAAGTATACATGGCACACGCATCCCACCTGCACCATTACGCCATCACGGGCAGCTGAGACAACCTGTCCCTTGTCACTGCGAATCAACAGCACAGCTACTGTTAACAAGACCTGAATGATCTGAGCCAGGTCTTGGGTTCTCGAGGCTGTGAAACCCCAACTAATGTCTTCTAATGCACTGAAACTATCCCAAGTTTCAGAAGATTTTTTCATTTAATTTATTTTAAAGTAAGGCATAGATACTTCCGATATTGATTCAAACTTTTCCTGCACCATTCTGGTATTTCTCCTGAGAACACAACAAACCAATGAGCTTAAGAAAACTAAAAACAGGGGCCCGGGGGGTGGCTCGGTAGAATAAGCACTTGCCTGGCAGGCACAAGGGCCTGAGTTCAATCCCCGGTTCCGCAAAAAAGATAAAGAAAAAAGAAAACTAAAAACAGGAAAAAAAAAAAAAAAATCAGAGGTAAGATGGTGCTCAACTGAACCCAGGAGTCTCCTTCTACTTTCACCAATTCTTTTCTATTAGCAGATGTTCGTGATATTTATACTTGTTCTGGGGATTCACGTGATCATTTTCAATCTCATTGCCTCTGACACCACTCTCCTATCCTCTGCCTGCCTTCTTGATTTTTATACCTTTTATTTTATTCTTTACAGTTTGAACTTCTTATACAAAAAACCACATGGGATTTAACTTCCACATCTGGCCTATTTCTCAGCATGGGCTCAAGATCCATTCATCTTCCTGATCATGACATCAATTCCTTCCTCATCACAACCCAAGAAAACTCCCCTCCAGATGTATACCACCCTTCACTAGCCACCTGGAGAGTGCTTAGGCATCGTGAGCGGCACTGCGACAGATGCACAGTATGATCACGACAGTATGCCACCTTCTCAACCCTTTCAGACATACCCAGGACAGGTATGGCCTGGTCAAGTGGAATTTCTACTTTTAGTTTTGAAGAATCTCTATTCCCATTTCCACAGTGGCTGCACTAGTCTATCTTACTGCCAACAACTTGATCTCCACATAGTCACCAGCATTTGCTGTATTTTGTGTTCCTACTAACAGCCATTCCTTTTTTTTTTTTTTTTTAACTCTTTTATTTATGCATGTACTTGGTACAGGGTCTCACTTACGCAGCTCAAACTTGTGATCGTCCTGTCTCAGCCACCCCAGCACGGGCCAGCACAGCACGCAGTACCATAGACAGAATCCGGGTCCTTGCACTTGCTAGGCAGGCGCTTAGACCACTGAGAATCTCCCGTGACCCTGATAGATGTTCTGATTGGAGTTAAGACAGAATCTGAGTTATTCTGATTTATATTTACTGATTTCTAAATGTGCTGAACATTTTTTCAAGCACAGTATTAACTGGTCATTTCACTTTTCAGTTCATTTACCCACTTTTTTTGATTGAATCATTTGTTTATGGGTTGCTCTTTTATATTCTAACTATTAGTCATCTATCACAAGAGTGGCTGGCAAAATTTT